ACACCAGAGAAGGGAACAAAGTTCAGTAGAGAGTCAAATGGAAAGGGCACAGAGAGATCGGAAAGGAGGTCCATGGAGGGGTAACTGCAACTGGGAGTCTGTGTAGCGAGGAGAAGAGAAGGACTGGTTGAGGAATGGGTATCTGGACTGTCTGGGTCAGACACCAGGGAAGGGAGTTCAGAGACTGACTGGGCAAGGAGGAAGGACAGCAATGGGTGGACTAGCTCTTAAGCAGACAGACTGTGGAAGAGAACGGGGCTCAAGTGGCCAAGGAAACTGGGAGTGGGGAGATAGGCTTAGGTGGAATCTGGAACTGTCTGAAAATGAAAAGGAGGTGAGGAAGGCCTTGGGCAGAGAGGGACTGGAAGGAACAAGCCAGGAAAGTACATCCTTGGGGAAATGTACAGAACAGTTTGTGTCTATGAGGGTCCATTTCCTGACTGAAAGGAACATAGGACTGTTTTTTTGCAAGCTGGCTACTTAGTGAAGGTTTCAACTCCTTCCCCTTTACTGCTGTTCTACCTGCACGAGGTAATTGACTGCCTCTATTTGCTTTTCTTGCAGATCCAGCTGCAAATGTTCTTTTGATGGACTCAGATATTTGGAAAACCATCACACAGTAAGGAAAATAAATGCACAGTATAATGGATAATAAGGCAGTCAGTGGCATCAGCAATGAAAGAAGTTAGGCAAAGAGCTATCGAGAAATGCTTTATGGGGAGCTGATCAGGTCTTAAGGTGATGGGCTAGACAATACAGCCTCTAGAGCTTATTTCTAGACTGTTTTTATGGTTCTTATCACAGCATAAAGGACATACCTTAGGGGCCTTCCTACCCCCTATCCCCAGTTGCCTTGATGGACTTTTTTGCCAAAGTATTTCCTCTCTACTTAATACAGAAAAACCCCAAATTTAAAATTCAGATCTCTGTTGAGTGGCAGTTCTGGGCTTATTCCTGCATTTCATAAAGAACAAGTCAGAATTGTGAAGTCACTTGTTATTTTAGTAGCCACTGAATTAGTCTGTGATGTAACTGTTGTTTTTTCCATTTGTTTGTTTTCAAGGAGTTAAAACAGAATTGCTGAAAGCATCAGATATTAGCAGGAAGATGAGGAGAGGCAGATTCCTCATTTTAAGTAAATGTCATCAGATGTGAACGCGGCACAATGTTTTTATTCACATCCTTGTCCCTCTCCCTCTATACATGCTGTGAAGGTGAAAGTATGTCTTAGCCTTAGCCATTTCTACATTTTTCCCAACAAAGTCTAATAATTAATCACCTGTAAGGCTTTGTGCTTGCTTACTTACTTGCATGGCCAGGCAGATTTTCAGAACGAACATCAGGTATTCAAAATAGGTGGAGTTGACCACATACCAAACTTTGTACTGGTACTGGTTTTTAGGGATGTATCTCCGCAGGGGCCGGGCCTTCAGGGCATATTCTACGCACTGGCGCTGTGGAAGAGGCAGGGTAGATTTAAAAATCAAAACCAAAATACAGGGTTGGTCAGCTATCTCCAAATACAATAAAAATACAACGTGTTTCAAGATTTTTACTGGAATGAAAATGCTTGGCAGAGGAATTTCTTTTAGGTCATAATCTGAATGTATATATTCTACTCATTGAAGAGTTCCATACGCACTTACGTTGGCCGGACAACACTGTCAAGCCCAACTAATCTCAGTGAACCAAATATTACAGCACATATTTTTATGTAAATGTTGTCTCTTGAGCAAATCTTACAACAAGTTTTTTTCACCTGACTCCTGACAGATGGAATTGAAGCCAGTTTAGTGTTTTATCTACTTGGCAATCTTCACGTGTTCCTCTCTGTATGTATTTATCTGTTAAATGCTTAGTCTCAATGTATTTTCTACCTTTAGTGGCAACGAGCGGTTGTAAATTACCTGGTTTTTGTCCAGCTCACAGTTCTTGTACTCTTGTTCTCCTTGTTCCTGAAATGTGACGATGACGAAACCAACGAAGATGTTCATCATGAAGAAAGCAATGATGATGATGTAGATAATAAAGAAGATGGAGATCTCAACCCTGTGATTATAGATGGGTCCCACATCCTCCATGTGGGAATCAATGGACCTATACAGCAACCTGAAAGCAAACAGGAGCCCAATGCAGAGAAAATCTGCAACTGCCTTGAGGCCTATAGGTGATGTTATAAAGTTTAACTTTGTGATTTTCCTGTACTTGTATCAAAATCACCTCACTCTCAGATGCACAGACTTGCACTCATCTGAGTGTAAACTCTTGCAAAACAGAAGACATTGCTCTTACTAACTTTATACATTTGAACCTGTTTATCGGTGAGATGTTTCCACAGTTGAACAGTTAAAATTTAAAACAAAAGCACGCCCTTTGGTTAACAGAAGACAGCTGAGTCTGTATTGCTGGGAGATTTGTGAGAAAAGGGGATCTCAGCACTTTTAACGTTTGTTAACACTGCTGTTGGCATCACCTGGTGACGCAGTTCAGGTTCAACCCCCTGATACCCTGCATGCCCACGTCACTCTGACAAAGCAGAGCTGTGAGAGTCCTTGGCACCCCTGCGGCACAGAGAGCACAGCCTGGTAAGACATCCCCTGTCTGCCCGTACTGCAGAGACAGCACCGCTGTGTTTCACGTAGCCCTGCTGGCTCCGTCGGGAAACTTGAAACACCGAACAATGCACTGTATTTGTAAGAAATATTGCTACTGCTGGCAATCATTTTTAAGAGCTGGAGACAGTTTACAAGTGCAGGAACAGCAATTCCTGCAGCCCCTGAGCAGTTTGCAAAGTACACAGTACTACAATGACTTCTGCTACTACCATTACATTTAATGCTTGTATTTAAATACTTAGAATGGGAAAGACTATGCTCTGTGTTCGAATTTTCTCTTTGGAAATGGATGAGGACATTACTGGTGTTGCACCGGCCCAAGAAGCACTCACTCTGGCCAGCCCTCAAAGGTCGAGACAGTGAAGAGGGCCATCATGGCAGTCAAGACATTGTCGAAGTCAAACTTGCTGTTCTCCCAGCTCCGGGGCTGTATCATCGGCTGGTTGACCTCACCATCCTTGTACGTAATGTAGTACCCTCTGTGGGTGGAGAGCGGAGAGAACATGGCAGAACCGCGCTTCCAGTACGAGGCCCCGAGCGTGGGCCAGTGAAGGGTGCTAACTGGGAAAGGTCGGACTCACCTGCATTCTGCTGCTGTCTGCTTGGAGCTATCCGTGCAGCTGTACAGCTTGCCCTTGGAAAGGAAGGAAGAGCAGTGAAGCTTCCTGACAGTGCCAGGGTTGGGACAGGTCATATAGCAAGGAGACTGCATTTACTACTTGCTTAACCAGCTATGGGTAGGTTTACATGCTCTTTTGCAGGCAGAGGTGAGCAAACTGGTTCGGGAGTTGCCTGCGTCTGGCTAGTTCAGAGCACAGGCTTTCATCCGCTGGCACAGTAGTTCTGTCGGTATGCCCTGAGGTGCATGCTCCCCGAGGGCTGCAGAACACTAGTTGTCAGAAGGGTGGTGAAGGGCAAAGAAATAAAAGCAGACATAAAGAAGTGAATGAATAACCTCCCGTGAATAGCTGGTATGCCCCTTCCTCTACAGGATGGGGGGTAGGCAGCCTGCAAGTACCAATCCTTTAGAACAGCCTCCTTCAATTCCCTGGCATTAAGCCATGACTGTTTAGGGAAGAAGATGTTACTGATGATTTCTTATGATAGAGATGAAGGGCTGGAGTTCTAAATATGTCTGGTCCACTTTTGGGGAACTCCTGTTAACAGGAGCCCAGGTAACACTGACAGTGCCCCAAATATTTATCTTTCACACAGAAGACTCCATCAGCCCTTCCTCAGGCTTCTTCACACTATTTTTCTTCCCACCCCAGAATAAAGCTCAGGGTAATGGATGAATGAATGGGTCCAATGGTTTTACCTTAAACAACTGAACTCCAATGCAGGCAAACATGAACTGCAGCAAAGTGGTGACAATCACAATGTTTCCGATGGTTCGTATGGCGACAAACACACATTGGACCACATGCTGCAAATGCAAGATAGGAACAAAGGTAACTTGCAGGATTGTTCTGGGTGGCTCTGGCTAAGGGAGAAGCCCAAGACTAAAAATACAAATAAAAGAATTTCATTTAACTATTGCCCATTAAGTAATGTCTCGGAAAAGGGGAGAGAAGACCAACTGGTACATTTCTCACTGTAGTCTTAGAAGCAGGCAGAATGGGACAGGAAAATACCAGAGGTCAGCTCTCTGGAACTTCCAGCAGCACTGACTTACATAGTTGAGCCCCCACCAGCCCACAGGAAGGAGTTGAATACAGCAAGGCTATGTTAAAACAGGTTTGTGAGCCTATCTGTAACCCTAGCAAACTACATCATTTAACCTCAGTGGTGATGCTGGGCCACCCAGCATCAGAAAGCAGCTTGGCAGAAAAGGAGCAGGGGATCCTGGTAGGCACCCAGCTGAACATGAGCCCTCGCTGCAAAGGTGAGCGGTATCCTGGGCTGCATTAGGCAAAGTACTTCAGCAGGTTGAGGGAGGTGTTTATTCCCCTCTACTCAACACTGGTGAGGCCACACCTGGAGCGCTGTGTCCAGTTCTGGGCTCCTCAATACAAGAGCGCCATGGATGTACTGAAGGGAGTCTAATGAAGGGCCACAGAGATGATTAAGGGACTGGAGCATCCCTCCCATGAGGAAAGGCTGAGAGAGCTGGGACTCTTCAGCCTGGAGAAGGCTCAGGGGGATCTTGCCAACCTGAAAGGATGGTGCAAAGAAGACACAGCCAGGCTGTTTTTAGTAGTGCCCACCAACAGGACAAGAGGCAACAGGCACAAACTGAAACACGGAAAGCTCATCTGAACATTGGGAAATGCTTTTTTACTGTGAGGGTGGCTGAGCATTGTAAGAGGTTGCCCAGAGAGACTGTGGTTTCTCTCTCCTTGGATATATTCAAAAGACATCTGGGCATGGTGTGGGCAACCTGCTCTTGGTGGCCCTACTTGAGCACAGTTGTTGGACAAGACAACTTCCAGAGGCCTTTTCCAACCTCAACCATTTTGTAATTCTGCTGAAACACTATTTGAACCATTGCAGAAGTCCTTGTAGCTTGAAATAACTTGAATTTATAGTTTACAGAATGCATTAGGACTCATCTAACCTTTAGTCCTTTGGCTCTGTTGATGGCCCTCAGTGGTCTAAGCACTCGGAGAACACGCAGGATCTTCACCACATTGATGGCACTAGACCTGGAAGAAAGTATTGGACGGGTTGAGAGATACAGCAATATAAGGAGTGTGCTACGAGGGCAAATAGATTTTGGCCACTCTTTCTTGTCTGAAATCCTACATAGTCTTACGCTACTTAAGATAGTTAGAGAGTCAACTCTTTAATACAGCACTTCAGGGATAAGGAAATGTCCCTCTGAGGTTAATTTCATAGGTTTTGCTTCCTGCTCTGGGCAGGCTCAGGATACATTCTCCTGGCTTTCACCATCTCTGCTGTATTAATGAAGGGAATAGAACCTGGACATGGCATTTTTTTAAGTAGGGCAAGCTGCTTATCTGTAGATGTCTAATGGAAGTTGTGCCAAGATGTAGTCATCACAGACAATTTCAGATAAGGCTCAAAGAAACACTCCACTGAAAAATTCATAGAAGAGTGGAAACTCCAGATTCCAGACTCCAGCATTAAAGGTATACTGTCCACCTGCAGTTTGATCCTGCAGTGTGTTTCGCCTCTGATCTTGCAAATCAATTAAGTGTGTACATAAATATAAGGATTTGGAAACCTACTGAATTTATTAGAATGACATATGTACTTAAAGTACTGAACAAAACTATTCACTGCAACAAAGCTTTCAACATCTTCCAAGACTAAAAACCTGGCTGAGAATCTTCTCCATGTTGTATGACATCAGAACCTTCCTACTGATTTTGGGAACAGCAGGTCAGAATGAGCACTGTGTCATTCTTCAGACCTTGACTAAAAGCCTGACAAATCCTTCTGCTTGACTTAGCTCTGGAACATAACATATGTGAGCTGCTAACCTGTAATGGTAATAATTGGGAGCTTATTTCTTATCAGATGTGATACTACTTAGGAATCTCCCCATCCAACATAGTGTTCCACATAGTCAAGTAGATCTATAAACTTATTAAGCAAATTAACAGATCAACCAACACAGAGTGGCACGACAGAAGCAGGATCAACAGTCACTGTCACCAGTACACCGCCGATTCTCACACAGCTCTGCAAGCACTTGATGGTCTTCCATTGACCAAGACCCACACCACCTTTGGATATAGCAAAACATTATCACCTCATTTTCCAAAGAGGTTATGAGAGGTCTAGGAGGGAACAGTATGTCACTTAACTGTCCTGAACTGATGCAGTGGATCAAATATCTTGGAACAAAGCTAAGTGTCATGATTCCCAAAGGACCAAGTTTCTTGTCCTCATTTGCTCTTTCTGGAAGATTCCCTCTTCCAGGTCACTAGCGTAGCATTTCCCAAATTATAACCTCCCCTCTTGAGGATGAATTTAATGGTCTTGAATCATCTGAGGAAAATACCTCCAGGCTCATGTGAAAAATCTCACCTAGACAATGAGACTGAGGTATCACCTCCTAACTCAGCCCCACAATCCCCCAAAACCCAGACAACTGAAAATAGCTCACTCACTGGATCCCGAAGGAGATGAGAGAAACGCTGACCACCAGCAGGTCTAAGATGTTGAAATAGTTTCTGCAGAAGGAGCCCTTATGGAGGAAAGCCCCGTATGCGGTCATCTGCAGGAAGGCACATGAAGACACAAACACACTTTGCCATTAGCATCTGTTCAGAAACCAAACCTACCTGGTTGTGCTCAGAGTACATAACTGGGGAGGGGCAGTATTTCTAACATAGCAGGCAATTTACCCCCAGACCCCAAAGGTGAAGTTGAGTCCCCATTGAAAGAAAAGAGAGTGAAGAAGACAGTAAGGTAACTAAGAAAGACCTAACTAGGGACAGCCAAAACTAGGTTCAGTGAGGAAAACATGCACTTTGAGTGCAGAGAGTACATAACATTTAGAATCAGCAAAGCAGCAGAATGATTGCTTGCAAAAACATCTCTTTGCCATCATATGCTTTTTCCTTTTTCTTCAATGGCAGAGTACACTTGTGAGTATGATGCTTGTATTATATAGCGGCCTCTTTCGCTAAATTGAATACAAAATATAAAATAAAAAGGACTCTTTTGTAATGTTTTTCAGTGCTTAGACCAGCTGCAGCAGACAGTTGAGCTCTCCTCCTTTCACAAAGGAAAAGCAGAATCCCTTGGGGATTTAATGGTTTAGAGCTGAACTGAAGCAACAGGAAGATTTCCTGCTCTCTTTGGTTTGCTCTTTCTGTTCAGCTCAATCCTGTACCTCTTTTCCTATCCCTATCTAGCTTCCTCATTTTTTACTCTAGAAGCAGTTGTATTTTCCCCTTCATTTTCCTCACAAGGCCCAAGGTAAGATTCCTTGAGACAGGGTGGGGGGTTTTTTAATGGGGCTAATCATTATGAACTTGATCCAGTAGAGGAAGGTAAAGGTTTTACATATTTTACAAGGGACCCTCTCTCCCTTCTGGATATGAAGGGGTATTGAATACCTGCTGGTGTTGGGGAGGATGTTGCAGCTCCAGAATTGGGTTAAGTGGCAGTTTAAACAGAAAAGGGTCTCAGCCACAATGTCAGACCTAAACACTTCTGAGCTCAGGGTTTGAATTCTAGACTGAGCTCAGTTACAGCATGTGACTAAACGAGTTTGACACACTCAGAGGGCGTGAAGTGGTGGGGGTATTTGTACCACCTACCTTAGACTCGGTGAGAGATCTAATGTAGCTGCTTTGTAGAAACCCCGTCCCCACAACTGCTAATCTCCCTCCATTACCTGGGTTAGGAACACAGGCTTCTAAATTTGGTCCTCTGGATCTCATCTAAGTTAGACGTTTAAAGTAACTTGAAGCAGACCCCATGAGACTGTCCCTCAGTGCGGAGCTCTAGCCAGACTCCCAGCTGAGAAGTGTGAACACTAGAAATTCAAACTGGAGTTTGCTGGCTCCCGCTAAGAGCTCAGGATGGCATACCTGCTAGTGGTTTCCAGCCATGCCTACCTCTAACACCTTTATTCAGAGGAGAGTGGAAGGGCACGTGGTATATCAGATTATTTTTGTCACCAAACATCCATGACATCAGGGAACTGACTATAATTCAGTCAGACAGAACTTAGAAGGGGAGGAAGTATAAACTCTGGTCTTGGCTTAGAATTTATACTTATAGAGACATTCACTTGGGGAAGAAGGGAGGGGTTCTTGCCATAACAAAGGTGGTAAAGATGTCTTTTGCAGGTTAGATTTTGTATGGCAATCTTAAAAGAAAGGAGACACCATTGAAATCAGGAGGGGAAGCTCTGCAGAGTTTAAAATTCTGTACAGACTGTGGTTCTCTCAAGCCTGTTGAGAGATTTTGTTATCTCAGAATAGATTCTCAGAGAGTGTATGATCTATGTTTGCCTCCCATCTGGGGTACTGAACAAGCTTTTAGGATGCCAATTAAAAAAAATAACGGTGGTCACCTTGCTAACATTCACCAGACCCCATTGGTGGGGCTGTGTGAGGCTTGCAGGTATCATCAGCAACATGAAGGCAGATGAAGCTTGTTTCTCTACAGCCTTGAACATCCTATGGCCATTTATTCTTTTGTTTCTTACCATTTACGTTAACTTTGCTGTTGCGCAAAACATTGTGCTCAATGCAAGGCAGCAGAGAAACACGCCCTGAGAAACCACATAACTTGTGAGGCAGGAATTGACAAGGTAAGAACAGAAGAATTCCTTAACCATTTGTAGTCTTTGCACTCCTCTCCCACTTGAACACAGAGAATATCCAGAGGGGTTGACATAAATCCACTGAAGTCAACGGGAGGGCATCAGGAAAGCTCAGGTACTAGGCAGCACCATCCCCGGGTGAAGCCAACGCAACACGCCAAGGGGTTGGGGTAGGCCCTGGCTCCACTGAAGTCATTACGAGTGTTACCATTTGCTTCAGTGGGAGCAGAATCAGTAGCTGTAAACTCAAACAGGTGCCTCGAACTACGGTTTTATTCGTAAATGTTACAGTTGAAGTATTTTCCTTTTTGATCAGCCACGTGGTATGTGCACGCACGTGCAGATTTATTGTGCAAACACAGATGCGCGCTGCACACAAGCGTAATCTGTACACCCCCGGAGAGCATTATGGCTTTGGTGATTTTAAGTCATACCAAAAAGGACGTCTCTCTACAAAAATATGCAGGGGCGACCCCGCTTGCCAGCCTCTAGTATGGATACTGTTATTACGGTCTTGAGCTGCAAGATTTGAGCAATTCCAAGGTACTGCCTGCCAGAACTTAGAACTAGCGTGCTGAGAAAAACACCAAGCTGCCAAGTGAACCTACCATTTAGAAAGCCAGAACTTTGCTCAATTACTGTTATTTAAATTATTAGCCTACCAATTTGGGAAAATTAGAGCTAAGAACAAGGCAGCCTATTTTTATTTTCTTCTGAGCCAAACCATTCTCCTGCACATTTCCCTTGGTACAGAGCATGTTCCTGGGAAACGGGAAGCCAGGTTTCAAACAGGCGATGCAGCGATTTTCATTCGCAGCTAGAGTCCTTGGCGTTTCAGTGATGTGTACTCGTTACCTCTCCACACCTTAAAATTTAGCTTCTGCACTGCGCTGCCTGTCTCCTGCTTGACTGTGCACCCTGTAACCTTACAGAAGTCATTGGCCACCCTCTAGCCTGGTCTCATGTCCTGTGCAGAACAGAGACCTTCTCTTTGGGTTGTAGCATGTGTAAGAGGAGGTGTATGTCCTCGGGGCTCCTTGCACAGCAAACAAATCCTATTTTGGAAAGACTGGCCAGGGTAGAGAGAAATTTATGGGGTGATGGCCTTTTTCTTGGTCCCCTCTTACTTTTCACAACAGGGTCATCTTTTCCTTGTAATTTCCCTTAAAAGCATTGTTTTGATGTGGGCCATCAATGACAAGTTTGAATATTGAAATTTCACAGAAGACTTCTTAAGCAACTACCAAAACAATAAAAACAAAAGATAAACAATCCTTTGTGTAAAGATAGTAATAGTGAAAAGGAAAAAAAAAAACAAAAAGAAAGAAGGAAAGAAGGAAAGAAAGAAAGAAGCAAAGAAAGAAAGAGAAAAAGAAAGAGAGAAAGAGAGAAAGAGAGAGAGAGAGAAAGAAACAAAGGAAAGAAAGAAAGGAAGAAACAAAGAAAGGAAGGAAGGAGAAAACGAGTGTATTGCTCAGATTGGTTACCTTAAGAATAATTTCTAATGTAAAGATACTAGTGAAGACATAGTCTGCATTGCCTAGGATCTGAAAAATAAGCACAATCGGGTTAGTGGTACTGAGCGTGACCCAGGAACAAACAGGCGTGTGTGTTAGCAACAGAGAGTGGCAGAACACTAGTAAGCTTGTGAACAAGTAATGGTAGAGAAGATGGGCACTTTACCTTCAGAGCAATTTCAATGGTGAAAATGACAGTAAAAACTATATCAAAATAAAAGAGAATCTGTAAAAACAAAAGGGAATAGGAGCAGGGAGGGTAGATCAGTGACTGATCACTTGAATGGGAAATCACAGTTCAAAATCAAATACATATGCCTTTTAACAAGGAGGGCTCAGTAGGAAATGGTTTTGCAACGACGTCCTGTTGAATGCAGTGAAGCTCTTGGCATCGAGGACAAGATGCACATTACATGAAATATTTTCTGAGTTACAACCCCATGAAGGCTCTAGAGGCAAAATAACTTTTTGGTGGTTGTTGTAGGATTTTCTTTCTTCCTTTCTTTCTATTAATTTTTTTTTTTTTTTTTTAAATCTGTGAAAGAACAGAAGATTCAAGGGTTTTCCCAATAAGACTTCCAAACGAGAACACAAGGATGCCTGGTCTCTCAGTGGAAAACATGAGATCCCTTCTTATTAACTTCCATTCTGGGTTGTTCTGTGCCTTACACAAAGGAAGAAAAGCAAACTGAAAATTCATGCTCTAGCTATCTTTTTTCTCTATCCTGACTTGCCCTGGATTAGGTTGAATAACAAAGACTCTGCCAATTGAACAGAATCCCAGTTCTTGTATTGCAACTATAATTTGGTCTTGTGCTAAAGGTGCCTAATTTAGATCTTGCATCTTTCTACTGGCATCCTGGATAACAGGCAAGCTGAAACACTCATCATTCCCATGAACTTAGACCTGGTGGTGGGGATACTGGTGGCATGCATAGCAGACCACAAAAAGTGGCCCCAGAGTGTCACAGAAGGCAACAGCAAGTCTGGAAATGCAAACTGATTTTCAAAGTAACAGCATCAAGGACAGAAACGTCTTTCACTGCCAATGAATTGACATCCCACAAAAACAAATGGGAACTTTCTCATTTACTAATGGGACCAGAATTGAACTCTCTTTGTTTCCAGCGTATTCCGATATCCCAAGCCATGTTAGTGGTATCTACACTGATGGTGAAAATCAAAAGTATCGTGGCCTTCAATTTCTGTTGGTTTAGCTTAACCAAGTCCTAAACTGGAAGGTCAATATACAGAAGCCGTAGAAAACTGACCATTTGTGAAATCTAAAGCTTTCCTGCTAACGCACTAATAAACACAGAGCAGTAAACTGCGCTCTCCCATCCCGCAGTGTTTGTTGTATCTCAGTGCCCGTACCCTAACTCACATTTACTGCTGGCTAAATTCTTACAACTTGGTATGGCGCAGACAGTGGGGCAGCTATTCCCAACTTCAGGGTTATTTTAGATATTTAAGCATGATCCAAATCTGGACTAATTTGCAGACGGTGAATATCAAATGACAGGATATATCATTTACTGGTACTGTGTAACAAAATTCTCCAGGTCACTGCTCAATTTCTGACCCCAGGTTGTTCTCACTTCTTCAAGGCTGTCGTGGGCTCTATCCATTTTTGAGATTGAGAATTAAAAAGGGGCCATTTCAAGGATGGACAGATCTCAATTGCATCCTGTATTAATTTACACACATTATAACTGGAAATGTCCCCTTGCACTGCTGCCTTGTAGGTCCTGACATTTGGTTATTATACCAATGCAATAATCTTATAATCAATGGGCCATATTCATGGCTACGCTCAGGCTGCTCTGCGTGACTCCACCAACATAGAGCAGCCATAAACCTGATTAAAGTGGATGATTAAGCTGTACCTGCAGCTGCTTTACATCATCAGAGCACTGCAAAGCAGCTAGAGCATGCTGGTGAACCTGACCCCAAAGCTGCAGCTAGTAAAGATGTCCCTTATTGGTGAAATCACGCCTAATGACAGCGATCACTGCCTCACCTGTGTGGGCAGTAACATTTATCAGCAGGCATATTTATTATTATCTAAAGATGAATTTACTCTAGAATATATCAAAATGAACGAGCACCTTGCCAGGGTGCGAACAGGGGAATATGGCGATAAATTCTTTCCTTAATAAATTCTTGGGACTTGCTTTGACTTTAAATGCTGAGGCATTTCCAAAAACTTGCTGCCAGAGCCCTGCGTGACATGAGAAAGATGCAGGCAATTAGCCAGCCCTGGGGACAGAAGCGATGTCCAAGCCTCTTCGCTAGCCCTTGTTGGAGGAGGTTCCTTCCATTCCTGTCTTCCTGCCCTGGGACAGTTTGTATGGGTCTTTGTGCACAGGTTGGTGCCTGGTTATGTTGTCCCAGCGTGGAGGTAGAGGCAGTTTGCTTTCACCTTGCTTTCTTTCCCTTCCCAGGCCTCTGTGTGCGCACAGGGTAGGACACAATCTTACTGTTCTACTGTCAAAGTGTAAAGGCAGACCACATTTGTAACCCAAATGTCTTGTCAGTGTCCCCTTGCATGATATATTTTAAACATCTGTACCTGCAAAAATTAAACAGATTTTCATGCAACGTCAGTGGCTTCAAATACACAAGACAACTCTTTGCCCCAAAACTTCAGCTCTTTTATCCAGGACAAGCAGCTTTGACTACTTTTTTTCTCATCTAAATCTCTCTGCTACAGATTCTGCAGCAGCTTTGTTGGCATGTCAGAAGCCCATATGCCAACTGACATCGTGCTGCAGCACTAAGACCTATTGACATACATTTATCCCTATATGGTGGGCACATTCACAGATGGGTCATTGGCGGCATGGGTTTGACTGTATTATTTAGTACCCGTCTTCAGGACAAAATGCAAAGCAGCTTTGAGATAAACTCAGGAATAAACCTCTATTAACACCTTCTCTGCATGCACATATGTGTTTAAAAGCATGCTATGCCAGGATATTTCAGGGAGGTAGAACACTGGTCTGTAAAACTGAAGTTTTGTTATTAGACAACAACAAAAAAAACTGTCCCACTCTTTAAGCCTGGTGAACTCTTCCAGCATAAAGGCACCAAACTGCCACTTCAGACACCCGAGATCACAAGTCTCACATATCACTGCTGACTCTTCTGATTTTCTGCAATGACCCCAGATTAATGGAAGAAACCACTGGAAAAGCTAAGGGAGCACTGAACACTTCCAAAGGCTAATAAGAATGGTCAGGAAAGAAGGTGAGAATGTATCTCAGTGCTGAATGCCTTCCTCTCCTTCCCCCAGGCTGGTGAGGTGAGGAGCACAGTGTATTTTCTAATGATTATCTCAAACTTAATGATAGCTTTGCAGCTTGTGTTCAAATAGCCTGTTTCTAACCTTGACGACACTAAGTTCCCCCAGAATGACTGCAACAAACTCAAGAATGTTACTTCTCATTTATACCAGTGTGAACAAAGTGAAAATCAGGTCCTGGGCTTTTTAGTTAAAAAGAAAGCATGTGGCAGGAGAGCAAATGTTCCAAAGGGAATTATCCATATCCCCATCAATGTTTCTACAGCCCACTTCTAATCCCTTAATCCCAGGGAACAATAATTTTGCTTCAGCCTCCAGTCCTTCTTTCCCCACACACGTTTCTGAAGTGAAATAGAGGACAAATTCTGCACTGACTCATGCTCCCTGCAAAACCCAATGATTTCACACACAGCCCACAAAAGGCACAAGTCAGGGAAGAGAGTCACTCCCAAAGCTTCCGATGCAGTCTTTTCTGCCTTTCCTGGCTTCAACTTGTGATCTGCTTGTACCACACTTTTAATACACAGTGAGGGAAGGAGGATGGGAAGCATACTTGGTTCCTAAAGGAGAGGTGTCGGACGGGGTCCTCAGCTGCCAGGGAGATGCTGCTGAGCAAGATGAAAAATAGGATCAGGTTGGTGAAAATGTTATCGTTAACGATTCGATGGCAGTGGACACGAAACCTGCAAGAGAGAGGAGAGGCACAACTTTATCTCTCAGAGAACAGCAAGACCTGGGAAACATTCCCCCCTCTTCTTTCGCCAGCAGGACTGGCGCTGGAGGATTGTTCTGCCAAGCAGCTTCCCTCTGCCCCAGCGGCAGGGAGAACGATGGGCCCAGGCTGTGCTCGGCCCTCCTGGGTGCTGGACAGCCTTGGTGCTCCAGTCAGGCAGTGATGCACAGTGATCAGCTGCCTACAAGACTCACAGTCGGGTCTGAAAGGAGAATAGTCACTCCCTCCTGACAGAGCCTTTTGTGATTTAGATGTGGTCTGAAACCTGCCAACCCCAAATTATATCCCTTGCTTTCATTCACAGAACCATTCCCCAGTCATTCAGGGGAAAGCAGCAGAAACAGGCTTCAGGGGGCCAACATCCTTCTGACGTGGGGCTGGCGTGTCACTTAGCAGGGGCTATGGGGGCTCTGTCTTGCTAACAGGGTACAGACCTGGCCAAATGGATATAGGGCAGGCTGTCATTCTCAAAGGGGTTCTGGGAGGACATCATGCCATGCAGGGCATCTGCTAAACATCACCCTAATAAAAAGTGCTTGGTGCTCTTAGTGGTAAACTAGCGAGTAAAGAAGTAGCAGTCTCTCATCAAACAGCAGCATGCTTACTGGAGACCATTACAGCACCTTCCACATGTTGGTATTGGGATACAAGGAGTTAAACCTCATAACAGTCCTATGCATAATTCTAGGGGCTCTTCGCTAGTCTGTTTAGCGCTACTTTTGGTTGTTAAGCCTCCAAGCCCCTATTATAGCAATTTTACAGATGACTGCAGAGGTTAATTTACTCCTTCAACAAGCGACAGTGGGTGGGTGGCAAAGCTGGCACTAGAGTCCATGAGTCCCAATCAGCATCAGTCCCTCCCTGATACACATCAGGGAATTCACTCTGAATTCAGCTGTGCTTTTATAGCCCTGCCTTACTTTGAGCCTGTGTTTGGAGACCTAGTCCCCAAGGGAGATTCTGGGATCCATGGTACTGCACGGACCATTGGACAGTGAGATCATTTCTGTACCCTTGAAAGGATGTATTCCCTGTGTCATAGCTCAGCCCTCCACTCACAGCACTGGTCTCACACACTCATGTTGGAGAGACAGGTGGGACTACACGAAGGGATCCCAAGTAAAGAGTGTGAGAGAAGAATTATTCTTCTCAGCCTCCCCTCAGAGCTATGGGCTCTCATCCTCCTCCTCCTTTTTATTGTATGCTTGTTCTTGTCGTATAGGAATAAGCAGAGACACAAGAACTCCCCACTGGGTGTGGAATTTTGAGCAGACATTAGGACAGGAAGCTCCTACCCCATGGTTGACTGATTGCATGATGGCTTGCTTGCAATTTGGACCTGAATAAGTTAGGGAATTCCAACTACTGACTTGCCTCCAAGTCCCTTACTTCCTAAGCTTTCATTATTTGTGTCTTCAATCAGCCTTGCAGGTGCCATGAACTCCCATTGAACATTGTCAGGGGGCTCCCTGCAGTTGTGCTTTCGCAAGGATTTCATACCCGGGCCTTTAAAGGAGAGACTGGTCAAAGGATGTCTATGGTATGAATTGCTGGAAGGGAGCTCTGCACCACATAATCTTTGGGGCCCCGCATGAAAGGGGTACCAGCTCTCTGCCTCCTTGTTCTAGCTAAGCAGCCTCTTAAATACCTGTTGTTAGGACTGAAGATGAAGAAAGCACTGGCATCAGGCATGGGCACAGCCTTTTCCTTGAGGTGCAGTTCAGACATCGGGCGAGGCCGAGGGCCAACAGGCATCTCAGGTTCTTCCTCATCTTCCTCTGCTGCAAGAAGCATTATTGTCTCTTAATGCAAAATACAACCCGTTCCAGAGTGCTGTGGCATTTGTCTCTATCATAATTAGAGCTAAAAACTAAGAACCATTGAAATAGGATGATAAAAGCTTGAGGCTCCTTGTCCATTTCTCCAAGGTAGCATCCACTGCCCAGTGCTCACCCTGGCAGACACTCATTTAGTCTCTCTGTAAAACCATTAATGCCGGTAAACCCACAACAGCCTCACGACAGTCTCTTCACGACAGATGCTTCGCTGTCCCTTCTGCAAAAAAAACCTTCTTCTAATGAGTGACTTGAATCTTTCTTGCTATGGTCTAAATCCATTATCTGTTTTCTTATTTTCCACGGACACAGAAAACAGAGAATTCCCTTCCTCTTGCAGAAAGCTTTTACAAACTTGAGGACCAGTATTATGCCTCTGCAAGGATTTCTGGCTCATAGAGCAAAACAAGTCTTTCCTGAGGTGCTGCGTTCCCTAGGTATCTGATCATTCTTGCTACTTTCCTCAAGATTATCTGCAGGATTACCCTGCAGATGAGGTTCTACTGGAGCAGAGGAGAGCTGGATTGCTTCTTACAATACTGTCTTCCTGCTTAAATGTCCTTCATGGGCACTTCTTTTCATTACACTCTAGCATTAATTTGCCATCAGTTTCTGATTTGCACAAAGCACAGGTTATTTATCAAGGAACGGCTGCCTAGCCTGTCACTCCCTCTCTGCATTTGTGCTGCCGACTATTCCCAAGAGTGACACTTTGACCTCATTCTCATTAAGCTGCATCTTATTTTCTTCAGACCATTCCTCCAGTTTATCAAGATCTGGTTTTCTCCCCTTTGTAAGGCTCTCCATGGAGCCGCTGCCACATCTGGGATTGTGTCTGGATGAGCGCATGCATGCCCTAGACCAAATGTGGAGCACGGGCACTTTGATTTACACCAATCAGAAATTCTTAAAATTGTCCCCTTTCGTAATTCAGTGGGGAGGAGATTGGCAAGGTGGGAACAAGGCTGAGACTCTCAAACCGGATGCCTATGGAGCAGATCTCCAGGCACCGTGCAGATTAGTGAGCACCCTCAAGAAAAATAAACGCAGAGATGGGCTAAGCGGTATGTGAAAGAGAACCTTCAACCTTTGAGGATTTCTTCTACCTCCTGAAGGCAGATGCTGCTTTGTAAATGTCACGATAAGATTTTGCTATTTGAAAGATCCCAATCCTCTCCATCAGCAAGACAGGAAAAAATATTTTAAGAAAGGAGCCTGACAGGTTTGATACAACTGATTCAACTTCCAGCCAATGCAAAGGATAAAACTCTACTTAAATGGTTTATCTTGAGTTCATAAAGTGAGATAAATTCCAGGAAGAGCCTGTTCCTTTAGGGTCAGGTAATGTACTGTATCTGGTAATGGACAGATCAGAAAGAACAGATGAATCAGCACAGATCCTAATCTAGATGTTGGAGACAGGAGAAAAGTGGCCTTGCCAATGGGTGTCATTATTACATGCAAATAGGATTCTTTCTTTACACTTCCAATAGCAAAAGTTCAGTCCAAATTCACTTGATAGATTTTTGCATAGATGTTTGAGCTGGTACATACAGTTTGTACTTTTTAAGCCGGACTGGTTTTTAACAGCTTAATTTTACACTGTAACATACTCTATAATACTCTTTCTAGAGGCTTTAATACTTAAAGAAACATTCTTTCGGAAGTATTTTAGTGCACAGTACTTGTTAAATTGGTATTAATGTTAATGCTCATATTTATGTAATATTACAATACTTTGCACCTGCACCTTTTATCTACAGGCTTCAGAGTGGGCTGACAATGACTGAGGTAAGCAAATTCTTTTTCTTCTTTAATAGTCCAGGATACAGATGCCCATGATCACGTGGGATATTTGAAAGTCCTATTTAAAATGACTAGTATTCTGAGTCCCTGGTTTGTGCCTTCACTATTAGATCATTCTTCTTCTTTCACTGAGAAGAATGCTTAAAAAAACACTTTAAAATGGGTACGGAACAACGCCTCAGGAAAATGGACGCTTAGCAGAAGGGTCAGCCCCGTGAAGACCATAAAAGAACATTGTTCCTCTCCTCTTTTTCTTGTGTCTGCCACACAGAAAGAAATAAATGATGCCGACAACCACAGACCTTCAAGACTGCAAAACGTGTTCAGTTTCGCAGCCACAGAGAAAGAATAATGTTCTAAATATGTTTCAGCTAAAGTAGGGTCTAGGGCACAGAAGAAAGTAAACACTGAGGCCCAAATACGCCAGGAATAACATCAGCTCCGGTGACTACCTAAGCAATCCACCTGCATAGAGAAAGAGTATGTTGCACAGTTGCCAGCATCTGCGGAAGCAGAAGTCACCGCGGTATTCACAGGTTGGCTGGGCAGCACACCAGCTGCAATCCAACACTTCTTCTTTGACTGTTTTCTATACCTAAGGTAAACTTGTGGTTAAGAAGTGATCCTTCTAGTTAAGCTTGCCACAAAACCATAAAGAAACATGACTCAGAGCTGCCAAGTTCAGATCTAGGCTTGACCCCTCCTAAAGTTCGAGGAAATTCAGGTCTGGGACTGTCATCTTGAATTATGCTTCTTTAGAACGGCGTTGTCCTTTGGCTGTGAAGAAGCCATAAGCACACAGAGGCTGCAGGGCAGCATCGGTGAGAAATTCGATGAGGAGGAGTTTTTTAACAAAGACCAGAACTCTTGTGTAAGGACACTGCTTTGCTTCAAGCTCCCATGAATCATCCCAAGCTTTTACCTTCATTTGACGTTCTGAATTCTTTGTCCGTTAGACAAAGAGACTGCATGACTAGCTCCCTGTCTTCTTATAATAAACATATCATCATAATAATCCTTCTAGTGTACACAAATCTCTGGAAGAACTTGTCTCTCCCTCCAACAAAGGGAATCGGTGATCTGATGAGCTGCAAGTACCCGGAGTGCTCTGGGGGCTACGAGCAGCACTGCGTGGCAGAGAGTCAGAAGGGGTTAGTGAGAAAACTGGCTGAGGCAGCGGGAACAAACAGGAGATTGAGCGAGGTAGGTTGAAAGAATAAATGAAAAACTAATGAAATGACCCTTTCAAATTGTTTCTGAACACTGGGTTAGGGATTCTTTCCAGAGGATGGGGTGGTACACAGCCACAGAAAGACCACAGGCATTAACAGCTTAAATGATAAACAGAAACTAGGTAGAGCCAGCTGACTGCACCTAAGCAGCAGTAAGACGCTTCACTCAAAGCACAGCCCAAATGGATCCACGTGCAAGTGGGCAGGAAAAGGTGTGTTCCCAGATGGCTGCACAGCATCCCACAGCTGGAGCGATCAGCAATCAGCAGAAGGATTCTGGACTGGTCAGATGGCCACAAGGGAGCTGGACAGCGGTACGTGCGGGATTGGAAAATTCTTGCTTGCTAATGCCGGGGAAAGCCTTGGAGCCTTGTTCCCCAAACGTGCCTACACAAGGCAGATGTGACCCACATCAGCTCTGAGAGGGTCTTGGTGTTCAGGAGCTTTATGCAGCAGAATGGAATAGATGGCTATGGTAAATGTGATCTAACAAGGGATTTACAAAACTTTACTGCGTCTGAGAAGTTGACTTCCATGAACTCTGAAAGAAGTGGACAGGTAATTGTGTGAGCTGTTAGGGATCATTTGCAGCAAAAAGATAAGATTTTCAGAGAAAAAGTAACTTCCCCCTTCAGAATTAATAAACAATTCAGGGAATAGGCCTGTTTAGAAATGGCACCATAAAATGGCAAATAACCTAGATGCCATCCCTTTGCATTTCTAAGACTTTGGGAGACGGGACCTGACCATCCATTCAAATTTTAGGTTCTGTTCAAAAGCAAGCCAAGCCATGGATTGGCACTCAAAGGCAGGAGTTCAAATTGGTTTTACTTAATTTTCGGCACTCTAAACCTATGTACGGCTGCAGATAAAATACCCAGGACACAAACTGTAGATACAGTTTTTATCATGTAGTTCCCATGCCAGAGTATTTCTAGGCCATCCATAGAAGGCAAGTAGTAGGGTTACATTTGCTATATAGGTGGGCTGTACCTTCGCTTGAAAAATATTTAATAGTCTGAAAATCCAAGTCAGCTGAGAAACAGAACTGCATCGAGCTGTTTTAATTTGCGCTTCTGACTAAAGACTCCCCTTAGCAACTAGAGATGGTTATCCAGTAAGTGCTGTACCTACAGAGGTTCTGTGAAGATTAAAGCCAGAGTGATCTGCCCCAGGAAATGCTAAAGCAGTATTGCATGGTGTTGGAACCACACTCTATTCCTGATAAATGGACTATAAATATAGAGGAATAAAGGTATAGCAAATGTGAGGATTTTATTTTGTACTGAAAACCAAATGCAATGGACAGTTATCCTTTTTGCTTGTCTGAACCCCTTGTCCATCTATTTAAAATGAACTATAGTGTCTTTTTTCACCCTATCACATCAACCTATTAACAGACATTTATTAGGAACTATGGAACAGAAGAGAATGTGGTTCATTACCTATGACAGTCTGCTACATAATCATAGAAAAGCAGAAGGGCAGAGCAGGAAAGGATCACAAAAGGCCCTCTGGTTCGTGACTCCGTGAAGCCAGCATCAACTAATTATTGTACCTAAGCCTTTTCATCTGTTCTTCACACCATATGGCGATGCTGGGCTTCCACAACCATCTTCACAATCTCTTCTAGCCTGACCATTAGAAAATTCTCCTCTGGTGTCAATCTTGAATCTGTTACTTCTTCATAATGGCAATGCTTCCCCTCCTACGCGTAACCGCCTTTTATGTGTTTGAAGAAGTTTCTCCTGCCTTTCCTAGCTCAAACCACCACAGTTCTTTCAATATGAGTTTTTGCTTCCTACTACCATTGTTTTCACCATGCTCTTCTACACTCCTTCCAATTCAGCCCACTTCTCCTAATCAGAGCACCCAAAGTGAGATATGATATCCCAGCTGAGATTTTATCAATGGTGAACAGAAAAAAACCACTGCTTTGCTCTGGTTAGCAGTCACTGGCCAGCTGGGAGAAGCCCATAAACATGCCTAAAAGGGTCATGTTTTCACTGTTTATAAATCTCACTACTTGCTTGCCTTTTGAAAGATGGCAAAATATTGTTGGCACCTGTTGAGCTTGTGATCACAAGATTCGGATCCTTTTCTCAAGGACTGTTACCTACCCAGCTGTCACCCAAGATCCTTTATTTGTTTATTCCTGTCTACACGTAGAGCTTGGCACTTTCAATTTTATTTAGACCATTTATCCAGTTTCTCTAGAGCTCTTTGAATTCTAATGCTGCCCTCCAGCACGCTTCCTTGTCCTTCCTAGCTTCATGTCATTTGCAAATGTAATGAGCATATTTCCTCCTCCATCATTCAGGTCATTAACAATGAACTGAGCTGAACTCGGGACAGGCCCTTGGGTTGCAGAATCTCACTTGGGCTATCACTGCTCCCCACATAAAGGTTCTGGCCAATTTCCCTCCCAACCACCTAGACCATGTTTTTCTATCCAGCTTATGAGAATGTTATATGAGACAGTCAGAAGCCTTAGCAAAGCTAAAGAATACGACATCTACTTCTTTTCTCCTGTCTACAAGACTTGTCAGCCCCTTTTAGAAGAAAATAATGGTGCTTTGACATGACTTGTTCTTGGCAAACCTATGTTGGCTGCTAGTCATCTCCTTATCTTGCAGTCATATAGTTTGTTTAATCATTTGTTCCAGCACTTTTCCAAGAATGGAAGTTGAACTGACTAGCTTATAATTCTTCTGCTCCAACCCCACCCCCCATTAACCTTCAGGATCTCTCGGTGAAAAACTGCTGGAAGTTCTGACATTTCTTCAATCTATCTTTTAAGTATCTGAGGATGAAGTTTATTAGGTCCAACTGACTTGAAAAGCCTAACCAATGCTCTAGCTTGTTTTTCCAAATCCAGGCTGATATCTTATGTCTTTAGAATTATGTTAGTAAGTCACACTGTCTTTTTATTAATAAAAAAATGCAAAAAGGCATTCAGCACTTTGCTTTTCAAGAGTATCTGTTGTGGGTTTGTCAACCTGACCATTGAGTACTGAATACACAGACTGAAAAGAGTGTCATATATAGGTTTTCATATACAGAAAATTGTATATGATTTGATTGGGTTCTCTGTATTTGAAAATATAGAGCTTTCCAGAGAACCAAATCAAATAAATTTAATCAGTGTAGGGACTGCAAAGAACCAAGTCCACACCTGTCCAAACACAGGCAAGCACATCATCCTGTCCCATTATGAGAGCATGGCACGTTCAGCATACCTGCTACCACAAGCTGGCTTTATGTGCATTAGCAACTGGAGCTTTGTGAATCAGGGAAAAGAGGAAGACGATACATACCTGGAGCTTCTGCTGTGGGATACGGGCTCTTTTCTTCATTTTCATTGGGCTGATAATCATCCATGTTGATCTGACAGAAATGGAAGAAGAAGCAGCAGCAAAGCCTTTATCAGACAAGGCAGACAGTTTTCATTCCCTCAGAAATTCCAGCTGTTCATGCCATCACTGCACAGAGAGTGCTGGCTGGCAGGAGACCTTACCTTGGTAGCAGGCGGGGATTCTCCATCAGCAGTGATTGATTTCAGCTCAATTTTCTCCTCCTTTGTCTCCTCCTCCACAGCTGTTTTTTCTATCTCCTGTTTCTTTTCAGGACTAGCAGTCCTAACAATTTTACAAGATAAAAATCAAAACATTACAAAGGTGAAAGGTTGTTTCCCTTTCATGAACTTAGAATCATAGAATGGTTTGGGTTGGAAGGGACCTTAAAGCCCATCCAGTTCCAACCCCCCTGCCATGGGCAGGGACACCTTCCACTAGACCAGGTTGCTCAAAGCCTCATCCAGCCTGGCCTTGAACACTTCCAGGGATGGGGCATCCACAGCTGCTCTGGGCAACCTGTTCCAGTGCCTCACCCCCCCCTCCGTGAAAAACTTCTTCCTGATATCCAATCTAAACCTCCCTACTTTCAATTTAAACCCATTACCCCTTGTCCTGTCGCTACAAGCCCTTGTAAAAAGTCCCCCCCAGCTTCCTTGTAGCCCCTTCAGGCACTGGAAGGTGCTATAAGGTCTCCCCGGAGCCTTCTCTTCTCCAGGCTGAACAAGCCCAACTCTCTCAGCCTGTCCCCATAGCAGAGGTGCTCCAGCCCTCTGAGCATCTTCGTGGCCTCCTCTGGATTCACTGCAACAGGCACACACCATAAGAACCATCAGCTGGCTGGCACCTCCATTCTGAGACCAGCCTACATACCATGGTTTCCACCTTGTCCTCATCTACAGGCAAAGGCAGAGCATCTGCCCTAATTCCACAGATTATGCTTTTATTTTATAGCTTTCTCAGTGGCACGTGTGGGCGGATTGTGCGCATGCACGTGTGCAGGAAGTATGTGCTGGTATTCTAGGTCTGATACTAGAGAGAATGAGAAAGGTGTGAACCACTTCCAACCTATATCTTGTGGACTTCCACTAGGTTGCCTACAAAGTTTTGCTCCTCATTGTACTCCCAGAGGCAGGGAAACCTGCTGACTAGTATGCAGGACAAAGCAGAGAGGTCTGCGCAAGAGATCCTCTCCAAGCAGCCTGGAAGACAGTGAATACAAAGAAAGGTTGCCTACAAAGTTTTGCTCCTCACTGAACTCCCAGAGCCAGGGAAACCTGCTGACTAGCATGCAGGACAAAGCAGAGAGGTCTGAGCAAGAGATCCCCTCCAAGCAACCCAGAAGACAGTGAATACAAAGAACCAGGAAGGAGAGGCTTCCCTGCTGCTGGCAGCTGGGAATGACAGAGCAGCTCTTGAACCAGCTTGTGCCTCCTAAGAGTCTGCAGAAACACTAAAAGAACTGGCAAAGGAAGAACAGTATGTGGCATCAA